TTTTTTTTTTTTTTTTTTTTGTTACCATAGTTAAGTTAAAAAATATAGTATGATTAATTGTAGTAGAAATTTAATTTTATATTAAAATAATATTTAAAATAAAATAATTAAAATTGATTTGATGTAAAAGTATGATAAATATGATTGTGAGTAATGATTAATTAATATTATATGAGTTGATGAATAGTGAATTAAGCAATTGGACCTTCTATATACAACAAATAAAATAATTAGGCCTTCTATAAATATTTTGTTAGCTTGATAGTGGAGTCAACCTTCTATATTAAACAAATAAACCTATTATATTAATAAAATTATATTAATATTATTTATGTAATTAGAGAATATAATAAGTTTATTTGTTGTATATAGAAAGTTGATTCCAGTATGGAACCAACTGTTGGCTTCATAGCAAAACCGACCGATTTACACCCTAAAATATCATCATTTTTTTTTACTCAAAAGCGTACACAGCAAACAAAAGTATTTATAATGAAGACAACAAATCAACTGCGCGTTGAAATCGTTTATCTTACCTTTTACTTTACTGCTCGACTTGACGTCCCCGAAAGCTCTTTCTGCTTTCTTTCTTTTTTCTTTTTTTTTTTTTNTTTTTTTTATTTGAGATTATTTTTCAAGAAAAAAATTACTACTTAATCTAAGCACATTTAATGATCCAATTACTTATAATGAGCTATTTTAGAGCTGTTAGTTTTGGTTAGTGGATCTACCAGATCAAGATCGATCCAACTGGCATCCGATCAATGTGAAAGCTCACTGTACATTCATTATTGGCTGATTACCTTTTCTGGAAATACTACGGTTGTGTTACGGAACCATTATGTCGAATTTGTAACCGTTAGATTATCATGTAACCGTACGTGATAGTTGATCTTAACGGTTGCAACTGGAAATACTACGTTAGATTATCATGTAACCGTACGTGATAGTTGATCTTAACGGTTGCAACTGGAAATACTACGGTTGCGTTACGAAACCATTATGTCGGGTTTGTAACCGTTAGATTATCATGTAACTGTACGTGATAGTTGATCTTAACGGTTGTAAACTCCGACGTAATAGTTCCGTAACGACCACCTTTTGTTTTTGAATTGTGTTATTGAGATTAATGAGAAAAAATAAAATGAAGGAATAGTATTTTCAGATGATTTCCCAAATGAAATCAGAGAGACCAAAGTAGAAGAAACAAAATTGGTTAATAAATGAACTAATTAAGCTCATTGTACACTAATATATACAATTAAAAAAAAAAAAAGATTCCCGATCAAATTCCCCAAAAAACCCCTAGCTACTCCGGTATCGAGGTCAACCGCGCGTGAGTTTTCCCCCTCCGCCCGCCGCTCCTCTGACTCACAGATCTAACTCTCCCAACATCCCCGCCGTCTTCAGCCGCCTTCCGCGGCCGCCGGCCCACCCCTCCGTCCCCGGGAAACACCAGCATATTCCGTCGGCATCCGCACCTCTCCCCGCCGCAACCGGCGCTCCTCGTCAGTGCCGAGCTCGCCTTCACGGCCAATGCCGCCATCTCCTCCGCCCGGAGGCGGCACCTCAGCCGGCTGAGCGGTAGCGCGAAGTAGATTTGTCCGGGCTGGAGCTCCTCGTCGTCGCTGACCGCCGAGACGACGTCGCCGAAATCCATATCGTCGGAATTGCATATGAAGTAGGCCGGATTTTTCTGCAGCACGTAGGAAACTTTGACGGGGTAAGGGTATTCTTGTAATCTCCCATCGTCCATTATCAATTTGGCCGTGGCCACGGAGCTTGCCTCGCACGAGCTGCAAATGCCCATTGTTTTGTTTTCTTATGTTTTTTTTTT